ATAATTAGGCTAATGAGTAACAGTGAATTTTATATTTAAGTCTATGTTTTTTTTGTTTAACAGTTGACGAAGATCATGATCGAAGACGAATGTTAAGAATGAAAGTAAAAGAAGGTGTAGCTGCTGCTGAAACACTTAAAAAACAAATGTTACCAAAAACTCCGAATGTTGTACCGATGCCCACAACAGTCTCGTCTCCATCTGAAAATTGTAAGTTTTACTTACTTTTTGTTTCTCAACTTTCTATACAAACTTCGATGAACTGTTTCTTTATAGTCGATTTAAAAAATAATAAAGAACTTTCTGAAGCTTATCAACATTGTTTAAATGGAAATCAATTAGTAAGCACAAAACATTTTCCTTTTTAAATAATTTTATGAATTTGTTTCATTTTGCTATAGATGAATGTCTCCAGATTTGGTCAAGCTTTTGAAGAATATCAAATAGGTTTGACTGTGATGCTTCGTGCTGCTCGAAGTAAGTTAACATTTTTATCTTATATATAAAATTTTTTTTTTGTTTTTTTATGTACAGCTGAAACGAATCCTGTGAAAAGTAAAATTCTTCGCGATGTGGTAAATAAGATTTTATTTGATATGATTAATCGAAAAAAAATTTCTTTTTAGATTTCATTCTATTTAAATAAGGCTGAAATATGTAAAAATAAGCATGAATCTCAGCAATTAGATATTGATATGGAAAAGATCAAAGAAGATTCTGCACTTGATAATACAATGTTAAATGAATCGAATATTAATACCGAAGGAAAACAACGAGCCAGTTCACAACAAAATTGCTGTCTACAGTGATCTATTTCGTTTTTTTTTGAATTGACGAATTTCTTTTTTTTTATTACATAAGCATGAAAATAAAAAATTTCACTAATGATTAAAAAAAATGATTTGCAAGAGATACTAAACAAAAATATTAGCTCTTCTGTATATATTCTATTCATCTTAATAAGATTACAGAGAAAGATCATGATAAATCTACCTCTATGTGCATAAATGTATTCAATACATTATAGAACAAATGATGAAATCGTTGTACCACATGCATCACGTAGAAGAATACAATCAAAGCCTTTGTTAAATGCATCTTCAAATTTCCTTGAAACACATTGGTCAGTATTAACACTAACAAAAAAACGCGTAATCATTTTATTGTTATGAAGATAAGAGAGTAGTGCAGACTCATGAACGTACAAATCTGATGGGCGATCCTAGTATTGATCATAGTGTCACTTTCTGCATATAGCAATGAATAAGAGTAAACTTACTTTGTGAAATAAACCATCAGACTTATCAATGCTCTGATTACTTTCATAACTTTGAAAAAGTGAATCATAGGGTTTAGCGTTCCAAATATCATGCATCAATAATCTTCTACTGTCAACATGGTCGCCATTTGGCAACGTGATTTCGTTCATAGTAGCTCTTAAACCTTTGTAAATTTTGTTTAAAATCCTTGGTAAATTCTTCAGTCCGCCTATACTGTCGCATTCAAAGATTCGTTTGATTGCTGGAATGGCGTATTTGAACAATTACTTTGATGCGACAAGCCTTGCCTCACGCGATTGTATAGTTGCATGCAGAAAAAAGTTTTGACTATCAATAATAACTAAAGTATTGTTATTATTTCCTTCTTGTGTGACCATTTCCATGTACAGAAAACAACCGTCAAATTATTTTGACGATATTTCAACTATATTCTTTTATTTAATTGATATATTTCAGTTGTTTGTGAAACAAACAATGAATGTATGATATGAGAACATGCTTCTTACTACATGAGATATTCAATATTCATTTTGCTCGTTAATAACAGTATATTGGCTTTTTCTATGGAATTGTTCTCGCACTGAAATATGACATGTTCATTCTGGTATTGTCCAATGAATGAACAGATTGATTCATTACAAGATACATGTATTGATTTTAAAATATTGTAATATCGAAAGTGGAAATAACTTCATTATGATAAATAAATACTAAACAGATAGCAAATTATTGAGTTGAAATAGAAGCTAATTGAGAAAAACCAATGAATTCGTAATACGACCCGATATTCTTCCACTATTACGGCGTGCCTATGGGATACAACCTCATTGTGTCATGGATGTCTAATTTATTAATATCTTCACTAAACATCTATGTGTATATAAGTACATGTAGTTCTGTTCTTCTGTAATTGTTTATTCAAAAAAACTAACGTACCGAGTTCCTTTCTAAGCACATAATTAAGATTATGTCAAGTAGTTAATCTAAGCACGGTAGAATTGAAATTCAAATACAATATTGTATTAAAAAATATTGTAACAAGATGGTCATAAACCAATATTAGCTAACTTTAAACTACTCCATGATAGAAAAATTCTAATTGCAAATCTGGCAGACATACTCAGGAATAAAGCAATTTCCATTCTGGGAATCGATTAGAATAGATGCATCCTTAGATATGGTATTGCTTTAATGTAATGAAGCATTCCTAAATATGATAAGTTAAGGAGACGAATTGTAATTTGCATTATTTTAATTAGCAACATTAGACCTTTATTTAGTATACAAGAGAAATCAGAAAGTAAAAATAAATATTCTTTATACGTAAAAAGAAATGATCTGACAACTAAGACTAGTAGAACATCGACCAATACATCAACTTGTGCATTATAATTATTTATTTATTCTATTCATCGTATTTATTTATATCAATCAACTCATAATTTTATTACAGAAAGAGAAAAATGAAATATTTTGTAACATTTACGGTAAATTCGTGTTGAATAACTTCTATTAGATTCATATAAGTACATTAATTTTCTTTTTGAGCTTCATTCATATATGTTTGAAGAGTAGCAACTTTTTGGTGCGTGTTCTGGAGTAATTTTTCACACATCTTTTTTGACGAAAGTAAACGTATATAAAGAGAGACGTAAAAACTGCCGGCTTTTAATTCTCACGTCAATATTCTGGTTTTTTACTATGATATGTAGAATCTCATTGTGGTATTTCATTACTAAAAATTGGTCACTATTAGATTCTGATATGATGAGATAATCGCACCAAAATGTGCTTGTGCATTACAACTACTACCGTTTAGTTATAGTATTCATCGATATCGATTTGTTTATCTGAAACATTTAATAGATCATGCTCGCTGTGTTCATCATCTTGGTAATTCGAAATTTTCCTTTTTCTGAATACACGGGACGTTGATAATATAAGTAATTAATAATTTCATTTAACAGTTAGATTTTGAGGCAGGAATAATGTTTTACGCAATTAATTTTTATCACCAGATAACATGGTATCATTTAATTGTATTGCAGATATACCTCTTTAAAAATTGTTGACCAAGTAAACAATATTCCCGTTTTCTTCAATTCATCGTCAACCGATACTTCTTTCAAATCATTTAAAGATTGTAGTGCGTTCTGTAATGTTTCTTTATGTGTGTAAGATAATGATACATCAGATGTCTCAGCCAAATTGTCATAGATTCTGTGTCTATTGTAAAGTGTATACGTGGTAATTCGAATTCTCATGGTTTTATATTAATGTGTAAATTACATTTAATTTTATCAAGTGATAAATCATCTTGCTCTAATGGTGTTATATGTAAAGTTATATCTAATAGTCAACGGACTCCATGATCCGTTCCAATATCATTCACGTATATTGGTCATATGGAAAGTTTTTATTAAATGATTAATATCAAATTATTCGGTTGATGTCATCGGCAATAGAGATAGTACTGAATTCGAACCACTATCAATGAATACCTATTCAACTTGAACACCGCCAAATACATTCTCACACATTGGGAAAAGAAAATGATGACGATAATTTTTCACAGCAAAACCTTCCATATTGTTTGTAATTAAGTATAAATTTAAACGAAGTTTAGAATTTGTAATTGTTGTATCAGTAGTCTTCATGCTAGTGTATCGCAAATTACAATAAAGATTCTTCTCTGATAACCAAAAAACATTATTATTAGTTAGTATCAGTGTACATTAATGTGTCAAATATTACATTATTCATTTAATTAGTATTTCTCAATCTGTTTGTTAGAGAATGTAAAAATATAGAAGTTAATTACGAAAGAGGTGCCATTGATTCATATCGTTCAGTTTGAGCTATTCCATTAATAAAACTTTCATGGATAACAAAATTTTAACAAAGAACATATACGTAACTCAATTTTTGAAAAACAAAAACAAAAGGCAAACATCCTTTTTCTCGCTCAGCTGCAAAACAGAAAAGATCAGCAGTAATAATACAACACATGTTTTACGGAAATGTAGTATTCAAAAATGCAAAACTCGTAACTTACAAATAAACAACACCATTGGATGTTCGTGAGGTATGTGTTTGAGTGCGCATCCTCCATACAGATGTCACTCTTCGCGGGTGTCCTATGAATAAGGGTTGAACGTAGATGGTTTCCGACTACTAACGCCTACTCCACATCACATTCCAATACAATCACACTCACATCCAAAGTCGTCACTTTCTGAGACATATATTTCTAAAATTTCTTGAGACCTTAACAGGGAGTAAGTATGGGTTATGGACATTTAATAGCAAGTTGCATCCAGTCTCACACTCACATCTATTATCGTTGCAAGTTTTTGAATTTGAGCGAGCATTTGTAACGTTGAGAACATTGATATAGACCATGATGTGCTCCGCAGTCTAAAGCAAAACTGATTTAAAAGCAACATAGCAACGTTGTAACCGTTAGAATTTTTTTCTTTCCAATATCGGTACCGATCTGAGGATGTGAGTTTGGGTGTCAGTGAAGCGAATTCCATATTCACCCACACTCACATATTAAATACCGTTTGAATGAATTTAGTAATATTTTTATTATTGTTATTATAAATATCATCCCAAAAAAAAAATACTAACTACACGTTTAGATCTCGGTGGCTGTCAGAAATATCCATATCGATAATCAAAAGAAACAGTATACTATCAGAGTTGAGATATATTCTATTATGATCCATGACCATACTTCTCAAGCCATTTGAGTTCTTCACGAACTTTTATTTTTCCATGCCAAGGATTATTCTCTAGTCCGTGTCCTTCTTTTGGAAAAACTAATAATTTTACAGGTATTCCTAAATTATGAAGTCCACGTTCTAAAATGTAACTTTGATCTGCATCAACTCGAACATCATCTTCGCCAGTAATTATATGTGTTGCAGTGCGTACTCGATCTAAATGATAAATAGCTGATTGATTTTTGTATATTTCTGGTACTTCCCATGGAAATCCTCCAAACAAATAATTCAAAAGCAATGGTATATCCATAGTACCCCAAGATGAGACATGTTCGATTGCACCGGCACCAGATAATGCAGCATTGAAACGTGTGGTTTGCGTAATCAACCAGTTTGTTAGAAAACCACCATAGCTATACCCACCAACATTCAATTTATTTGGATCAACAGTACCATCCTTGATTAGATTGTCAACTGCTGAAAGAATGTCTCTTTCTGGTCGAGACAATGGTTGAAAACGAATATCGTTGACGAATTGATCACCATATCCTGTAGATCCACAATAGTTAGGTTCAAGAACTAACCAACCTTCAACAGCTGCTATGGGAGCCCAATTATACCAGTTTGCTTCAAATGCATTAAGACTCATATCATATGGACCACCATGAATGAGAATAAGAAGAGGTAAATTTTTAAATTCGAATTTTCCTGGTGGATAATGTAAAATTCCTTCGATCGTTTGATTATCATGATCATTTTTCCAAGTATAAACTTTAGTTTTTGGTAAATGTCGTCGAGTAAACAGATCATTTTCGTTTGTTATTGCACGCGCCGATTGAAGTTGATTAATATCATCAATAATATAAACTTCCTTTGGTTTTTCGAGAGACGAATAAACGAATGCAACTGTATGTCTTCGACTGACAGATGATGATGAAATAAGATGATAAGTACCATTCCATCCACGACAATCAATTGTGTTATTCATTGATGACTTTTGTGTATAAATATGAACTTCAGTTCTCAGTTGTCCGAGTATATAAACACCACCATTAGGATTAGACGTATATCCGATAAGATTGCCAGAAAAATCTTTTACTAACCGTTCAATGTGACCAGTTGTTAAATCTAAGGAACTTAGTCGCCGTTGTACATCAGCAAATTCTTCTTTTTGATTCACACTACGACTTTGCTGCAGAAAAAGGACGTGTTTTCCATCATTTGACAACGATAATTGTGTTTCAAATAAATTATTATTTGTCAATCTAGATATTTTTTTCGAATTTTGAAGATCAATTGAGTATATTTCAAAGTATTCCATATATTCAGTTAACAGCGATATTGACGTAAATACAAGCTTTTGGACAACAGAACTAAATAATAGTTCGCCAATTAGAAAAGGAACATCTCGAATAGTACGTATTTTCACCGATAATTTTTTATTTTTTCTTTCGAAAACAAGGCAATTAATAGTACTAACATAGTTATGAACACTCTTTCGATAGTCAATCACATCTTTCCATTCGATTTGATCGTCATCTGTTTCTCTTGTCTTAGTTGTAATAAAATAAATAGATGAATCACGATCGGACCATGCTAAAGTTGACGGGATTTCAGTTCCAATTAAAATTGGTAATACTTTCTTAGATTTAATTGAATATAGATAAATAAATTGTTGCTTTTTTTCAACATTTTCGAATGAACGTTGATAATGCTTATATTGTTTTGTAGTATTCATTGTTGTCTTCTCAGTTCTCAAGAAAGCAATCCAATTTCCACTTGGCGACCATTGTGGTTTTGAAGATGCGCCTTTATTTGTCAAAATAAGATTTTTTTTCTTCGTTTTTACGTCATACAACCAAAAATTATTTTCGTAAGTACTTGAATTCCAATCTGGTCGTAAAGTTTCAATTAGTAAATATTTACCATTAGGAGAAAAACTCAGAGATACAAAATCTGTATAATCGAAAAATTCATCAAATGTTAATTTTGGTTTTGTTGCAATCGATGAGTATAATAAAAGCTTCAAAAAGAATAGCACACATATTAACATTATTTTCTATAATCTAAATAGAAGAATCATAAATCAATTTTATTTTTGATGTTGAATTTAGTTTAAAAACTAATGAAGCAACACTAAAACAATTATGACTTTGGTCTATCTCGTAACGTTCAACTGGCTGATTCTTCAAGCTACTTAACATTTCTTTCTAAAGGAAAAATGTTTTTTTTTTGAAAGTTTAAAGAGTACCAATTCTCAAAGGTCTCAATGGACCTTCTAACAGTTTACGATGAAATAAAAGCTTGTTGAAAAATTTTCGATAATTGCGTCAATGACCAAGTTTAAGATAAAAATACGAACGACGTATAATGTTCTATGGCGATCATATGCAAAAAAACTAATGTCACTTTATTTGTTTAGTTTTGATACAAAATCATCAACAACAAAAAAAAAGTCATTCAAATAGTGATTCTCATAATTATGTTTTATTCTGAAGGATACCGACCTTGAATGCATTGATATCTATAATATAGTATCTTCGTTGAAGTTTTACAAGAATATTTTCTTCAATAATAAACGATTTCGAGTAAATGCTAACTTTTTAAAGTATCGTTTTAAATAAGTGGATTACGAATCATTCTGAATTTTGATGTGTTTGACTAAGGTTGCGGTTTTTTTCAATAGAACAAGACTTTTTTCTCAGAGGAAGAGCATCTATAAGGCCATTTCTTTTGTCCAAAATATTTTGAATAAGGATTGAATTCTGACTAAAATAAGGTACTTTTTCCTGTGATCGAAACCTCTGAACCATTGAAAAATTTCTTGTTTCTAGTCCTGTCAAATTGTACATCATTAGACACTGAATTTCACATTGATTTCGAAAATCACAACAAAAAATAGAGATAATAAAGTATTGATGGAGAAAAACTTATTTTCTTGTACAATGGTAATAGAACATCTCTTCTGGTTCTCATCCTTCGCTGGCTTAGAAATCTTATTATGAAATCTAAAATGTAAACTACGTATATATGAAATTGTATTTCCAATTAAAGTCATGTATAAAAAATTGGCCAGAAAGATTTACTTTTTTCACTATACATATGGTAATAAAATCTAGAGTCAATGAGTCGTCTATATGAATCAATACAGTTTTTCATCATCTTTCCGAATATGATTTCAAAAATGCGAAAAAACTGAAAAACATGGTCAAAAAGAGTTTTTCGATGGTTCTAAGGTCTCCTACTCTAACAATGAGACGAGTAGACAATGAAAATGGTTTTTGAACATAACAAAATGCCTAACGTTAGTCAGAATTTCATACTAATTCAGTATATGTAATTCTTTTTCAAAAATATTTCGAATAAAAAACCTGAATAAGAAATTTAGTTACCTGTAATTTGGTTTTCTTCACTAGATATAATATTGAAAAGTGATTGTAAAATTGATGGTTACTCCAACCACAATGTACTACTGTTATTACTTCTTGTCAATCGTCAACGAACTTATAGTTGGATTAAGAACAAAAGCTCGCACTTTAAGTGATATTTTTCTAGTATTGTATGTCACTTTTCCTTTTGTTTAATCCTTTCGATATTGTCAGGTGCAGATGTTTGTGACGATCAGAAGGACTCATGATTTCTAGTTGAGAGATGAGAAGTGACATTCATCCTAGAAGTAAAGTGAACAAACGAATAGTTCTTCTTTAATCTAGTAAAAAAAGTTAGTTGCCACAATTTGTATATACAGCATGTGATCGAATAGAGAGGCCAAAAAAAGATATTATGAAGTTTGAAACTGTTATGAAAATATTAATTTATGAGAATCTTTGACGAACATTAAGATTCTCAAAGCACAATCTGTTTTAAATCGAACTAGATATCTAATGAAGATTGATGATACTTCGTAAAAGATTCTTTTTTTTTCTTATTTATAGGAGTGTATGAGACGTTTGTCGCAAACTATATCTCAACTAGCTGTTCTTGCTACAATATAGACTATCAGAAAGAAAAGAGAATTCAATTTGTTTTCAACATATTTACTTTTGAAAGTTTTTCATTGATAGTCGGATTTTTCTTGTTTTCGCTTGCGTGTGTTGTAGCAAGAACTCATAAAAAAGTTGTATAGATAGCAAATATCTTAGAGACCTCGAATAAGACCACTAGGTCATCTTCATGATTCATTTCTTCAGCTATTAGGTATTCAAAAATTTTTTTTCCAAAAATTTCTTACTTCAAATCTGAGTACATTTTGACAAAACTAATATCTCGGCTATTATTGTGAATCAATTATACTTGAATATATGTTATCACTGTCAAATATTCATAACAAGATTTATTATTTTCAAAATTCCATTAATATTCTATTCAATATAAATGAAATAATTATTCGTATAACAATGAATATATTATCTTTTTAAAAAATTGTGATCAATTTTATCAAATTATTTTCATATCTTTCAATTATTTATATGTGTACATAGAATATTAATGAAAAATGTTAATTTAAATAAAAGACCTTATCGATGAATATCATAATTATCTAATCTACTATGTTGCAAATCAATATTATTTAAAAGAAAAATGTCTGATGAACATAGAGATACATTCATGGATAGGTCATAGTTTCAAAGATGACTTCTTTTAACATTGAAAATTTACTGCTCGTTCAATTCTGTGAAACTCACGTATATTTTTGAAGAAAATAATAGTAAGTGGAAGTTTAAATCCAGGTTTTTGCGCGTTCCAACTTCTCTTAGGCACTAGCAACAGGCGATGGAAGGAAGAATGACAAAGATCATTGGATACGTTTTCATAGAAACGGAGAAAAGTGTATGACTGCAGTGAAAGGATCTTACTGTAGGCATCAATGATTAGAGCAGTAGTACTATTAATCTAGCAGAGTTAGGTTAGGATAACAATAGAAAAGCATGAACTAACTGAATTCTTAGTTTCAACAAAACTCAACAGTTTATATTAACGATAGTTGAGAAAAAAGATGGCGTGCTCGAAAACTCACTGAACGATTAAATCAATGTTTTTAACAGACTAATACGGTAGTTGAACTGACGAAAGGAAGAATAAAATGGTATTTACTGCTTTCTATGGTATCCATCATATATATTATTATTAATTAGGAGAAGCGAAGCAATGTATTGAAGATACATCAGGCAAAACAATTAAATTTTTTCGGTATAATGGTGTTAAATGAATCTAATAAATATGATAGATTAGTAATTCTAAATGCATACAGTTTCAAAATGATTAAATTACGGAGAGCACATATTAACTATAAAAATTGTTATAATTCCTGTTCGATGGCATATAAGAGGATTGCCAATGGTTATTTTTTCTTTGAATTTTTTGACACTTTGGGCAAACAAGTAGACAATGATACGTATAAAATCAGAGATGGCAACATCTTTAAAAAGATACAAATAAGAAAGAATGCTTAAATTAAGCACAAAGCACAGAGGTTTTATTCATGAAGAATAATAAAAGAAAAACTGTCGATTCTGGTTTTTCTTCATCTGCTCAAAAAAAGAGTAAGCCTATATACGTATATTCGCAGTATAATGATGATAGCAATGGAAATATTATTCTTACAATTATTCATTTCATACGGATCTTCTGTTAATAATGATGAACCTATTGAAACTTCGTCATATAGAGAACTTTTTCAATAATGTAGCCTTAGGTTGGACAAATAGTATTCATCGTCGACTTTCACCTGTATCGATGTTACCTACTGTGTAAAGCAAAGAAAGGAAGAAACCATGTTTTTTTCTTTAGCATAAGAAAGAATTCTGAGTACACATACGACAGTTGTCATGTTCAGAATGAAAAAGTTCTTTGTTTAAGTTGAAAAAATTGAGCGCATGGTATATAAAGGGTGGTCCAGAAGTCCTAACTCGATTTGAATATTAAATTTTTCTTTAGCAAAACACATGGTTGAAAATTTGTCTCTATAAAGAAAAGATGCAGTAAAACACGCTCTACAAAATGGCTTTTGATTGACCCTGCTAGCTCATACAGTAAGAAAGTTATAGGCTTAGAGATGTGCTTCACAAAAAAGAAAAATTAACCATGAACCTTCTTCGTATGATCTGCTTTAAGTAAAAGTCCCGTAACTTCATCAAACGAAAAAAATTTTCGATCAGGTTTGTTCTGTTTTAATCAGAAATGATTGCTCTTCTCTAACTAACTACAAAATCAAGCTTCCATCATGTTTTCTGTTTCTTGCTTGGGTATATTGTCGGGAACGGGGTTTGCCACTTTTGAGACTTCATTCTCGAGCACACCATCTGCTCTAAAAGTCTTTCTACAGACCAGGAGAAATAGTACATTCAAATCTATCGAACTCAAACTCAGTTCTCACTTTTGCTAAGCTTCTTCACGGAAATAATAAGAGAAGAAAAAGTTTCGGTTGAAAAAAATACCGAATTTACCATGTTTTCATTTTTTTTCGTCTGCCATATAATTTCCTTAGTTTTCTTGATTGAAGTTCTGAAATAAAAGTTCAGGTATGTTTTTGTAAAGAATTTCATGGCGCTTCTATTAAAAAAACGAATTTGTTCTAGGCGACCTATGGAACAGGAGTTCGAGCAAAAATACCGATATCGGGTTCACCGTTAATTTTTCTTTTTTGTGAAGCACATCTCTAAGCCTATAACTTTCTTACTGTATGAGCTAGCAGGGTCAATCAAAAGCCATTTTGTAGAGCGTGTTTTACTGCATCTTTTCTTTATAGAGACAAATTTTCAACCATGTGTTTTGCTAAAGAAAAATTTAATATTCAAATCGAGTCAGGACTTCTGGACCACCATTTATATGACCAGCAAGGTTGAATTAATCAAACAAAAACCAAACCAATGTACGACAAAAATGTACCATCGTTTCTTACTTTACGAATGGAATTTCTCCATCGTATTTTTGATTATCTCAATGTACGAACAATCTTACTTTCACTTAGTTCAGTATGCACTCAACTACGATCAGTGACATATACGTAAGAAAGATACGTGCTTGATTTAAAGTCGATTTCTAAAACTAATT